CTCCCTGTGCCCTGGTCCCGCGGTCACCCTGCGGGGGCGGGCAGGGAGCAGCGGGCGCGGAAGGCAGCCAGAGATTCAGGGGTTCGCCACCGAGCATCCCAGGGCAGCCTGGAGTGAGCTCTCTCACAGCCAGCTTGGCCTTCCAGTCTGGACCTCTCGAGTATGGCTTCCTGGGATGCTCCTTGGGCATCCCTCCATCTGGGATGCTCTTTCATCATCCCTCCACCTGGGATGCTCCTTGGGTATCTCTCCACTGGTGGTCGGCTGGAATAAAGTCAGGTGATCCTTTAATCCATGAGAAGACCCTCTGCCTCTTTTTAACTGATTGCTTCCTCCTCTGTAGTTGAGAGAAACAGTTCTCCCCCATGTCGAGTTTCTCCCATCAGAATTGCCCTTCATCCTCCGGGGTTGCTTTGCAGTTCAGCTGTACACATCCAACTCCCCAGGCCCATGTTCTCACCCCCTGCCCTCTGCCCTGTCCCACTGTGCCCACAGGTGAAGCTCCCACTGCCCGTTTTTGCCCTGTGCCCTCTGGTGCCATCGGGATAAAGCCACTGCATACAGGTGTGCGGGAACAGCTCTTCTGGGAGCACTAGGCCTCTCGTGTCACACCCAGAATTCGATATGGTTTTGGCTGTGCTGGTGCCCACAGATGGGGTGGCTGGAGGGGCTCCTACTCTCCTGATATGGAAACACACTTGTCCAACACTGTGTTGCAGGAGCTAGCTGTCCTTCTCCATGGCTCAGAGCCCGTGGGCGGCTCCGCTCTCTACTGTCCCCTCTGCAGCAGCTCCAGAGCTGAGGTGCCCCTGGTTCTCGAAAGCGTTGGTTCCCCTGTGAAGCCACATCTCCTTCACAGCCCCTATGAAAGCCAAATAGGGTTTGGTGGCTTGTCTTTCAAAGGGTGAACATTGGTGGTGGGATGGGCACCTGCACATTGGCTGTCCAGGCTGCTCCTGGCCCCCACTGCTCCCGACCGAGCCCTTCCAGCTGCTCCTGTCCCCAAACCATGGCCCTGCTCTCCCCATACAGCACTGGTGGTCAGGGAGACTAAGTGACTAGGGCCGCATGAGATGTCTGTGGTGGAGAACGAAGGTGCTTCTGTGTGGTGGCACGGCTGTGGCCTGCCCTCTCCTATGGTTGCTCCCTGGTGTTCATGTCCCCTCGTGCTGGGCTGGCCTGTCACCAGACCTACAGGAGCAGAGCAGAGGGCCGGTGTCCTAGAGGGACTGAGCAGAGGAGCCCAGCTCACTCCTTGCTGTTGCCCCACTGGTGGGGCTGGGGCCTCGCTTGGAGGTGCCATGGGCTGTATGTGACATCCCTCCCCAATGGCTTCCCCTGCCTAGGCCTGTCGTGGCCCCCACCCAAGGCCACCAGCCAGTCCTCCCACTCTGCCCACACGCTCCAGGCCCAACTCACTTAGACCAGAGAAGCTGGTGAGGGGCTCAGTGAGTGCTCAGAGGCACAGTCTGGGAAAGCTGAGCATTTCCTCCTTGCACTCCTAAACCACCACAGCATGAATGAGATTAAATTCACCCTGAGGGGATTCCCTGGCTGTGGGGAGTTTACTCCTACTTGCAGCATCACTGAAACTAAAACTACCTCCGTTCCTGGCCCCAGAAGAGCTGCACCCAGGAAGTCTTGTTAATGTCACAGCGAGGACTGGGCTGGCTGTCCCCATGGTGACACCACCTGCCAGAGCAGACAGAGGCAGGCGGGGTGATGGGGAATGCGGGCTTTCGGGCTCACTCCCTTCTCCCTTTCCAAATCCAGGAAACATCTCCTGTGTGGAGGGACAAGCTTCTTATCTTGTCTTTTCCACTTGGTGCTCCTCTTTTTCCCACCACAGGTGTGCAGGGCACTGCAGCCCATGAAAAGATTCATCCAGGAGCCCTGGATGGTGCCCTGAGCCGCTTGGTCCTTTCAGTGCCTGGCAGGGATGGGCACGTCCTCACAGCTGCCCCAGCAGCTCTGTGTGCCCAGCAGTGATGGGGGACAGGCAGGGCATGCTCAGGTGTCCTCCTGGCTGTGAAGGTGGCAGCTGACACTCGCAGAAATTCAAGGCACCTTTCAGAGCAAAAAAGAGACTTTTTCATCCTGATGAGCTGTGTTTGCTGCCCAGCAAGCCCCTGCCCCACTGCTTTGCCATCTTGGAGCCAGGCATTGGGGTGAGTGGCTTCATTTCCCAGTGGGCCTCATCCTCCAGAGGAAGCAGAGTCCTTCTTGACGTCGGAGCGGGTGAATGTCCTGAGGCCTCCAGTTTGCAGGTTTGCTCCTCTCTGCCCTCACCTTTCCATGCTTCCCTAGAGGTATTTTCTGTGCCCAGGCCACGTTTTGCTTTGCCTCTGTTTTGCTCAGGTGCTTTAGCTGAAACACAGCTCCGCATAAAGCTGCTGGATTTTTTTTTTTATATCTAAATTTCCTTTTCTTCAGTCCTGCTGCATTTCAGAGACCTCTTTTCAAGTCAGCGCTAAGGACCCCTTCAAGCGGAGCAGTAACTGGGCCCATCACCGAAGACTGATGAATGGACTGAAACGGAGCAAAATTCAGGCGGTTTTTGTCCCTCTTAATCTCTAGGGAAGTCAGTTTGGAATAACTAGAGCTAAACTAAGGGATCAGTAGAATGACTGAAAGCAGCATCTGAGCCAGAAAGGCTCTTGAGAGCTGTGATCAATGGGGAAGGTGATAGCCATGCTGGAAGGGGCTCCATGTAACATTAGTGCTGGGTAAACACTGCAGTAAGAGTCCTGAGTTGCTCAATAACTCACACTTGTTTTCTCCCTGCTGCCCACAAAGACCCAGACTCCTTCCTGAAGTCTGCACGTCTCCAGCGCCTGCCCTCATCCTCCTCGGAGATGGGAAGCCAGGATGTGTCCCCTCTCCAGGAGACCAGCAAGGACCCTTTCTCTGGAGACTGCAGCTGCCAGCAGGATGGGCTGACTGTCATCATCACTGCCTGCCTGACCTTCGCCACGGGCGTCACAGTGGCCCTCATCATGCAGATCTATTTTGGGGACCCTCAGGTAAGACAAAACGCTGGCTTTACAGTTGGGCTTTGGCTCCGAAAATAGGAGAAGCTCCCTAACTTTCCTCCTGTCCACAGTTTGGCAGGGTGAGTGCTGGTGAGCCACAGCCAGTGTCAGCAAGGACCTGTACCCCAAATTGTCTCAAAAACTTTTTACTGCACCTGGAGGTTGTGCTTGGAGAGCCAAGCTGGGCTCAGTGCCTGCCCAGTGGCCAGGGTGTGGGGGGCTGTTTGGGGGTGCTGCTGGGGGGGAACAGACAGCCCCACTGCCATGACTCCAGCTGAGGTTTGAGCCTGGTGTGAGTGCTTTCCAAAAACAGTCCTTATTTAGACAATAGGCATCTTGTCCACTTGGAGAGAGTTTTATGGATTATGGGCATAAATCACCTTTGTACCACTGAGTTAAAATCAAGCTTTTAAAACATCCTGTGACTGCATTAGCACTGGTGCTGGTACCAGGGAAGGATGAGAGCAAATCATGGTACTGAGGGGGACGTTGCATTCTTTGTAGCTATATTCCCATTCCCAGTGACCACCTCCTGCAACGCAGTGACAGCACTCATTGGTCACCCATTGCTCTTGAGGATTAGTCTGACCTTGCTCTGGGGTTGTGGGAGACGGAGTTGTGGCTTCCCCAGCTTAGCATGTCTGCTGTTGTAAGTTGTTTGAGCTGATGGCATGGCTACACGCAGCTGCCCTGGAGCAGTGGTGTGCCAAGGGACATATGACTCCCACCAGCATTTGGAGGCACCTTAAAATGCAGATCAGCCATGACTTTGGCACTGGCCTTCAGGTCCCACATTGTTGGGTGAAGATCTGGGCTGCACTGGCACTGCTCCCTGGGCACAACCGCTCTGCTCTTCCGGCAGCTCTTCCACCGCGGCGCCGTGGTGACGGACGCAGCTCCCTGCACGGCACTGGGCACGGAGGTGCTGGGCAGGCAGGGCTCCTCGGTGGACGCAGCCATCGCCTCAGCCCTCTGCGCAGGCATCGTCAACCCCCACACCTCAGGGCTTGGAGGGTAAGTGTTGGTCACTCACCCTGGACTGTCACCTCCAGTTGTCCTCAAGGAAGTGGTTTCATAGAATCCCAGAATGGGAAGGGACCTTAAAGCTCTTCTCATTCCATCCCTCTGCCGTGGGCAGGGACACCTTTCACTATCCCATGTTGCTCCAAGCCCTGTTCAACCTGGCCTTGAACACTTCCAAGGATGGGGCAGCCACAGCTTCTCTGGGCAACTATCTTGTGAAAAGTCCCTCTCAGCTGAGAAGTGCCTTCATGGCAGCATGAGATCCAGTGTGTAGTACTAGGTCTCTGACATCAGGTGGTGGATGTGTCCTTGTCTGCACAGGGACAGAGACCCTTCCTGTGCACCTTGGTGACAGTGAAGGACAGAGACTCCCAGGGAGGGAGAAGCTCTGTCTGCCATAGTGGCTGCCAGGAAGCCCCAGGCCCAAGAGGGCTAACAAGCCCCACTGTGAGTGTGCCAGGAGCTGGCAATGCTCAATCCCAGTGCTTTCAGAGCCTGAGTTCTCCCTTCCATAAGCTGTGCTCCTGAGATCGGGGTCCAATACCAGCTCTAGGCAGCTGCCAGGGAGGCATGGCAGTGAGGGATGGCCTTCTTCCAACCCTCATCCCCAGGGTGGCATCCACGTGAGCCTTATGCTCCTGGCTCTGCAGGAGGGCTCAGCAGCGTTGCATAAACCACAGCCATCTAATACCTGCTCCAGCTGCACCACCCATTGCTGGTGTAAACAAACACTCTTTTGTTGCAAAACTGCTCATATTAGAAAGAAAATCCCAGATTGTCCCCACCTGGCATTGGAACAGAGCCAGTAGCTCCCTGGCCAGGCTGGCAGGGACTGATCCAACCTCACCAAGCTCAGCACAGGGCTGCCTGCATCCCACACTGGCTCTGCTTTGGCTGTCCTGGTGTGTGCTCTGGGGAAGGACAGCAGCATTCCCCACACCAGCTGGGGCTGGTGACCTGCCACAGTGACCTGTCACGCTGGCCCCAGTGGCACTCGCACTCTTCATTTTGGCTCTACGGCAGCAGCTGTTGCAGGAACAGCCGGTGCCGTGCCCTGACCCCCCTCTCGCTGCAGGGGTGGGGTGATGCTGGTCCATGACATCCGGAAGAACAGGAGCTGGGTGATTGACTTCCGTGAGGTGGCTCCCCTGGGCATCCCTTTGGAAGGGGACCTGCAGCAGGACACCAAGGTGAGGACCAGTGTCCCACAGCCACCCCTTCAGGGCTGCTGTCTCCAGCTCTCCTCCCTGCAACCCTCAGGCTGGGGGCAGATGCCCAGCAAAGCAACAGGAGGCCTCTTACCATCAGAGTTCCTGGGCCTTACAGACATGGGGAATCCAAGGAAAATATTGCCTTTTCAGCCCCAAAATGCCTGCAGGGCTTGGGGAGTAAAGAGGTATGTCCCTCTGGCAGGGGAGAACCAGGAGAACAAGAGCTCCAAGAAGGAGCATAATCCCAGGTCATCCTGCTGAGTTATTTCTCCTGACCAAACTGGGTTGAGAACAAGATTGAATTTGACTCTTTCCTTCCAAAACCTTTTATTCCCTAATTGTGTTGTTACAGACCTCTTCCTCTCTTGTAACTATGCAGATAGTTCCAAAGCGAGCATGACTTGCATCTCCTTGACTTGCATTTGGGGACCATGTGCTATATCCTCATGGAAAGGAGACTATTCTTCCTTTTTGTCCTTCCTGTTTTACAGCCAGGTCTGCTCGTGGGGGTGCCAGGCATGATACAAGGGATGCACCAGGCACATCAGTTACATGGCAGGTAAGACACAAGGCTGGCACAGGCTGTGCCCTGGGGTCCCCACTGGAGAGCTGGGAGCACACAAGGCCTTGCCATCAGATAATGTTCTCAGCCACCAGTCAAAACCATTAGCTGAGAGGTACTTGGAGGCTTGTGTTGAAAAAGATGTTCATTTTTTGATACTTAATGTACAAAAGAAAGAATTTGCTTGGTCAGGTTTTCTGTAAAGTGAAATGCTGGCTAACAGGACAGATAATAAACGTTCTCTTGGACACAGGCACAGCACATTTCCATGCTTGTCTGTGTATTTTTATTCTCTCCTTAGCTGGATCCTAGGAAGTATGGCTGCCCTTAGCGCCCTGTTGGGATAGAGAGGGAGGGATCTAGATGACTTGCTCAGGGCCAGAGCCTGGCTTCAGATTTTGCTCCTGAGATACCCCTTTCCCCATCCATGTACTGCCATTCCTCTCTGGTGCACATCCTGGAGCACTGAGATGATCCTGTTAAGAAGAAACAACCACTGAAAGCTCAGTGCTCCTTTTGGCCACTGCTGTCCCCATAGCCTGGTCTTTTAAGAGCCCCTGACCATAGAGCTGAGCCCTACACTTGCTCCCCACCACCCTGCCCCACTGCACCCCTAAGGCATGTTTCTCCTTGTCCTTTGGCAGACTCCCGTGGTCCGAGCTGCTGGACCTCGCAGCTGGTGTTGCCCAGAACGGCTTTAATGTCACACATGATTTGGGTGAGTACCTGATGGAAAGCCAAGGGTGACTGCTCAGCACAGGGCGGCCACTGGCCACTGCGCTGGGGTGTGAGGCAGCTGGGGATATAGGTGGTTATTCATGGGAAATCAAGGCTCTTTGGACCTGGAGATGGATGATGTTGGGAGCTGAGCAATACATAAACCATGGTCAGAGCATGGTGGCAGCAAAACTGGAGCCTTTTGCTATGGCTGGTCAGAGCCAGGTCAGAGCAGCCCACACTGGGCAGCACCCAGGGTCCAGCAGGGAAGGGCACTGAGGCTTCTTTGTGTTTCCTTTGCAGCTCCAATGGATCCATGATCCAGCCTCCCTCTAGTTTTGCAATAGGGCCAGAGGCAGCAGCAAGCCCCCAACATCCCCAGTGGGTGCACAGTGACTCCAGGTCCCCTGCACCTTCCTGATCCCTACTGTTTCTGGATGTCTTTCCCCTTCTCACCTTCAGCCAAAGCCCTGAGTGAACTGAAGGACCTGAACTACTCTGACCGATTCCAGGAGCTGTTCCTGCCGGATGGGCAGCCCCTCCTGCCCGGCACGTTTGTCCGGCGCCTGGATCTCGCGGCCGTCCTGGAGCTGGTGGGGGCAGAAGGGGTGTCAGCCTTCTACAGCGGAAACTTGACCCAGGAGATGATCTCTGAGGTGAGCCAGGACTGTCCCTGTCTCCTACCGGGGTGGGGCTGCCACTTGCTATGTCACCTGCCCAAGGAGAAAAGCCAAGTGTCAGCACAGTGATGAGGACAGATGCATGGAACCTCCTTTTTCCTTTCTGTCCCCGTCCCTGCAGTGCTGTAAGTGACACACAGGCCATTCCCACAGCCCTCAGAAGTGAAACCTCCAATTCCTCTATAACCAGGAGAGACTGTTTTATTGAAGGAAAAAAAATTATGAGGCCTCTCTAGGCTGTGTTAGTTTAAGTGGCAACCCCTTTTCACCCAGAATTAGAGGTGCCCCACTGATGAGAAACAAGTTGTTGTTGTTGTCATTAATGGGACTATAAGATAAAGACTCTAGGAAGATGGTTTAAAAATAAAACTGAGCCATGTGAACAGAGGATTAGACAGGCTTGGTCCCACGTGGGGTTGCCCTAGTTTAACTCTTGTTGTTAGATGTGCTCTGGAAAAAATATCAATGACAAACAAAGCACTTATTCTGTTAAAAAAAAAACCTACAACTTTTATACTTGTGCGGCTGCAGTCAGAGTGGTTGGCAGCACTGTTTTTTCCAACCACTATGGTTCAAGTGATGCATCTTCAGTATCTGGTGAGTAATCTGGAATGGGTTCACTCTGCTCAAGCCTTAGAGATTTGTGAGCTCTGTGTTTGGAAATATACAGTTCACCTGGGCCACAGCGCAGGTGAAGGATGAGGAACAGGAAAAGTCCCAAACTTGTAAGCATCTCTTCAGCTAAACCTTGCTTTGTCACCACATTTCCCTGACCTGGGGCTGCTGCAGGGAAACACAAATTCTCTATGGAGGAGCAAGGCCCAGGGTTGCTACACCAAAGACCCTGGCAAGCTCTGGCATTCAGTACACAATTCCAGCTTTGGCTGCAGAGCAAAGTGCTGGCTTCCCACAGGGAAGACATCCATGTGGTGAAATCAAGCACTGCTCCAAAATGTCCCTTTGCTTCCAGGCACAGGTGCAAAAAAGTGCTCTCTGGGGAATTTGAGATGGTGTCTGCAGCGTGTGGCTGACTGGGGCTTCTCCCGTTTCTGCGCCATCCTGCTCCTCCTGCCCTGGTCTCCGCTGGCCGGGCTCCAAGGAAGCAGCTCTTGGCACAGGCACCGGTGGCTCAGCACAGCCCTTGGATTCAACCGGCCTTTTCCCTGAGAAGGAAATGGGGATCTCAAGTAGGAGAGACATCTTTAGCCACTTTGGGTTGGTTTGACATGCTGGCTCCACAACATGCCCTGCATTAGCTTTCCTTGTCCAGTGATTCATCCAGTTCTGCCAGAGAAGGAGTTTTGCTGCCGAGTAAGCTGGCTGGGTTAGAGATCAGAGCACACACAGGTGGTTTGTTCCTACCTTTTTTTGAATGAGAATCCAAAGGACTTACAGCAGCAACTCACCCCAGCAGAACATCTAACCAGGCCGTGTGGCTTCTCCTAGGTGGAAGAAAAGAGTTGGCCCATTAGCACCTGTACACTGTCACCTCCTTCAGGGCAGGTTAAGATCAGCAGAGTGCAACTCATAGAGTCATGGAATCACAGAATATCCTGAGTTGGAAGTGACCTTACAAGGATCATCGAGTCCAACTCTTGGCTCTGCACAAGACACCCCAGCAATTCCACCATGTGCCTGAGAATGTTGTCCAAATGTTCCATAAGCTCTGGCTGGGTTGGGGCTGTGACCACTGCCCTGGGGATCCTGTTTCCAGTGTCTGACCATCCTCTGATGGTCCTACCTCATCTCCATCATGACTCAACAACAGAAGACCTGCAGTGGAGGGAGTCGCCCATCTTTACCATGTTCATGAAAATTAACAACCCTAGTAAATTGTACCTCTAGGAGAGTCTTACAGGAGGACCAAGACTACAGCAGACCCACGGTCACCTGAAATAATTTCAAATAGAGTGGGAATTGTGATTTTTTTAATTGAGATTTCTAGTGATGGCCACCTGCTACACCCAGGTTCCTTCTCTCCTGGATCTATGTATAACTCTAAACCTTAACACACTAGTGCTTGCCACCCAGGGCAGAGAAGACTACAGGGCTGTGCCAGTCCCCATCTTCCTGGGCAGGCAGAACGTCTTCAGAGCACCCCTGCGGTGGGTGAGCTGCAGAGCCTTCCCACACTGGTGAATGGTGAGCCAGGCCAACAAGGCCATGAAAGCACAGATTTGCAGGTTATCCCAAGGAATGTGGCACTTGGCTTGGGAATCTCAATGGTGTTTGTTTGACAGTGAGGCGTGAGTCCCTCTGGTCCAGCACGAGGAGCATAGAGAGCCTTGACCCAGCCTGCTCAGTGTGTGCTGCTTTACTCTCATGCAGGTCAACAACTACGGTGGAGTCTTGGTGGAGGAAGACTTCAGCAATTACAGTGTCACAGTGGAGGATCCCATCCACACAGTCTATCAAGGTAAACTCTGACCCATTGTCATGCAACTCCAGGTAAATGTTTGCTTCACCTGGCAAGAGGTGCCAACAGTATTTAACAAGAGCTGAAGTTAAAGCTGTGCTCAGGTGTCTGCAGAAAGTCCTTCTACGCAGCTTCCTGCTCTTGCCTGCTGACAGTGATGCATCATGGGTTCAGGAGGTTTTCAGCACTTTGAAATGTTTTTTCCCATGATAGTGACAAATGGTATTTTGATAGTGTTGAAGTGTGAAGGTGCAACATGGTCCATCTTGATGCAATGTCTGCATAAGAAGCTGGATCATAGGCCAGCAGCTACATCTGAAGACAGTTCCCAAACTTGAGCTACAAGGGAGAAAAGCTGACTTTATGCAAGAAGTTTCTAAAATGTCTTTCTTTTCTAGCAATCCCTGTATTTACTCTCCTTATAGCTGTAATGTTGCAAACCTGTTTTATACGCAGCCTTTCAGTACTTAAAGGGGGCTTATAAAAACAGGGAACATGACTTTTAACATGGGCAGATAGTGACAGGAGAATGGGGGTGGTTTCAAACTAAAAGAGAAGAGGTATAGAAGCAATTCTGTGGTTAGGAAGCAATTCTTCCCTATGAAGTTGGTGAGACCCTGGCACAGGTTTCCCAGAGAAGCTCTGGCTGCCCCATCTCTGGAAGTGTCCCAAGGCCAGGTTGGAACTGGGCTTGGAGCAACCTGGTCTAGTGGAAGGAGTCCCTACCCATGGCAGGGGGTTGGTGTTGAATGAACTTTAAGGTCTCTTCCTTTCCAACCCAAACCATTTCATGATCCTATCTCTATTTTTCCATACTCAGTCCAGAAACCAAAAGCCAACCAATAGGAGCTGAATCTCAGATGTTAAAAAAGCATTCCTATTTGGGCTTCTTTAATCCTTCATAAAGAAAGAGCAAGATACAACAGGAATGTTCTGAAAAATCCTTCTCAAATCATGTTGCTTTCTGTTATTTCCCCTTGAATCTGGAAGGATTTCCCTGTCCTCAAGGACACTAGCTCAGCGAGTATTCTAACTGGACAGTATCTGACAAAAGCAGCTTCATTCCTCTCTTCTTCCCTCCACAGGTCACCTTGTTTTCAGCCCCCCACCTCCACATGCAGGTCCTGCACTGATCACAGCACTGAACATCCTCGAGGGCTTTAACATCACAAGTAAAGGATCCAGGGGAAATAACTTGCACTGGATAGCAGAGGTAAGAAGAGGTTCAATAATTGGCTGAATTGCTTGTGCTGCTAGAGAAAAATTTATTTATTCCTTGATTGTACAGAAATGTTCATAGGCAATTCCCAAAGGAGAGCGAGCAGATAGACTGCTAAGGTGTAAAACTGAGTGGTGCTGCTGTCTCAGGGAGGTGCAGTGGCTGGAGTCTCCTGCTCAGCTGAGCTCTTTCTTGCTCAGGCAGAGCTTTCTCAGAACAAACTGCGACTTTTGCCCATATGCAGTCATCTCTTCAGAATGACCCCATAGCACCTGAGGGTGGTCCCATCTAGTTCCTTCACCTCTTAGCTCCAATGGCCCTGGCCATTCCAGAGCACCTAAAGGCACTGAAAGGAGTGCTGCAAGCAAAAGCCTATACGTGGTGATGACAAGGAGAACTGACCCAATACTTCATATTTTAAGAAAATATTTACATTTTTGCCCACCTCATGATCTCTGTGGTCCAGAATTTTTCCAGTATTTAGGACTGTCAGCCCTACCAAAACATTGTAGCTTCCCAGGAGGTCAAGCAATTGCTTTGACACTTGCTCTGTAAGCAGAGTTATGCTCTGAGATGCTTCACAGATCCACAGCCGGGCTTTATGAGTTGGGAATTTCAGTCAAGGATTTAACCACATCCTTGTAGCAGGCAGGACAGCAGGTGCTTGGAATTTATTATTTCTCAGCAAAAAGGTAACAGCTGGAGGTGTTTGTCTCAGTTTAACGATACAGAAATGTTTCGTTAGGAGGGCAGGATATGGGAAAAACAACCAAGCTCCTCCCTCTGAGTAATTATAACTTTGAAATTAAGGGGCTTCAGTCGAAAGGTGTGGAAAAGAAAAATAACAGCTATTTATTAAAGAAAAAAAAATATATAGGTAACACAACAAAAAACCAAGCCACAATCCCGTAACCCAACTTCCACCAAAGCCATGGAGTCCGTTCTGCCCCTCGGCGCAGTCACCGCCCTCCCGGCAGGGGGCGCTGTTGGGCGGTGGGGCGGTGTCGCTCCGTGGCCGGCAGCGAGGGGGCGCTGCAATTGGACGTGGCGCGGTGTCCGTCTCCGTGGCCGGCAGGGGCGCTGCCCGGCCTGGCCGCGGGTCCCAACCACGGGAGGCGCGCCCGGCGCAGCGCGGGCCCCGGGCTCGGGCAGCGGGAGGAGGGAAGCGGCCTCTTCCCGCCGTGGACTCACGCTGGCAAAGGCTGGCTCCGGCTGTGGGTTCCCTTCCTCGTCAAAAGGTGCTGGCTGCCGCCGTCACGGGAAAAAAAAAAAAAGAGGAAGAGGAAGGGAAGGGCGGCTCTTCCCCCACAGGCTCCCCCACACTGGCTTTTCGATGAATTCGAGGCAAATCCAGGCAGTAGAGCAGAGCAGAGTGCGGGGACTCGGGTGCGAAACGGGGTCTTCCTCGAGGACAGAAGAAAACCAGCCGCCCGTCCGAGCAGATGAGCTCCGACCCCGTCCCCGCCCCGAGAGCCGCGGAGAAACCAAGACCCTCCCCCCGAGGGAAAAAGAAAGGAGGAGGAAAAAAAATCCACCAAACCTGAGTTCTTCCTTCCCCCCCCCCCGCCCCCGCCGGCCTCGGGTAGAGGGAAACGGAAGAGTCCTGCTCCTTGCAGAGAGAAAGTCGTTAGCGTTTCGATAGGGCACTCGTTCAGGTCTGAGCCAGCGAACAATGAAGCCTGAACCTTACTCCACCCCAGCCAGGTTGGTGTGGAAAAAATTCACCGGAGGCTGAAAAAGTAAAACGAAAACTATAAGAGTGTTACACACTGCCAGGCCTTTGCAGAGGCACAGAAGTTTTACTCACCTGGGCTATTTTGAGCTCTCTTCAGGAAGCTTTGGGTGAGTCTATTTGCTCTGCATTTACACCAGGCCAAGAGTTTCAACTGTTGATTATCCTGGAACACCAACCTCCGGATCAAAGGCAGTCACTTCAGGAGATGTGTAACCCTGGTTACTCGGGGTCACACAGCTGAACATGTGGCTGAGGCTCAGTGCTAGGCCAGCACCAAGTATCCAGCCCTGGAACAGCCAGGGCCAAGATGTCCTTAATCTGTGCCCGAGGGGTGAACATGCTCTGCTTCTTTCAGTGGAGCTCTTCCTTGGCCATCAAGCCCTTGTACATCCCTGTATGATGTGATGGTCTGGAGACTGCTGCATGGAAACACCACATTCTCCAGAAGTTAATCATGTTCTACACTCTACACCAGTAGATAACTGAGGAGAAGCTGTTGCTTTGTGGCATATTCCGAACCACAGTCACACCTTGCTATCTGCCTGCAGGGGAGTGGACTGTCTTGAATCTTGAATGACCGTGGCAAGACCTGCAAGCTGAAAGTCAAGTGTGTTTCTGCTCAGCACAGGCTGGCTCCTTTGATGAGCCTTGCTCCTTGTGGCTCTCCTATGGCTGTGATGTAATCCTAGGGCTGGATAAACTGTGTCTTTTGAAATTGTATCTTCCCGTATTTAATCAACTGGCTTAGGCAGGATTCTGCATGTTTGAGAAACCAGATCCCTTCTGCCTTTCACACCATCATTTCCCAAAGTGTGCTGGGACTAATGCTTTCTGCTCAGACACTTTGGATGGCTTACAGCTAGGAGCTGGGTAGCAGCTAGTGAGCAGAACAGCTCATTTCTGCTCGGCACTGGTGCTGTGCCAGCAGAGCTGGCAGCCAGAGGCAATAGTGAGCCTAGGACCCACTCTCCCACTGGGATTCAGTCTGGTCTCTGCTGTTGTGGTGACCACTTGGGAAAGGAAATAGAAAGTAAATGGCATCCTGGTGACCTGTCTGCCAGCTGGCAATGAAGCTGAACCACTGAGCTGGGTGTCAGCTCCTGCCAAGTGTGTTCCATTTGTGGCTTCCCACTGACAGAGGACAGGGATAGATGGGATATTGGTAAGGAATTCTTTCCTGTGAGGGTGGTGAGACCCTGGCACAGGTTGCCCAGAGAAGCTGTGGCTGCCCCATCCCTGGAAGTGTCCAAGGCCAGGTTGGACAGGGCTTGGAGCAACCTGGTCTAGTGGAAGGTGTCCCTGTCCATGGCAGGAGTTGGAACAAGATGATCTTTAAGGTCCCTTCCATCCAAACCCATCTGTGATTCTGTGACTGTACAAACACTTCTGGATACACTCAGCTCCCATAGCACATTTTGCCTTCCCTTCTGTTCCCTCCTCTCCAGTCTCTTCCCCTCCCTCTCCTTTCCTTTCCCCCCCCCCCGCCCTCACCTTCTGCTCTCCTCCTTCTCTGTTCTCTTCTCTTTTCTTTCTTTTCTTTCTTTAGACGTTAAAAATAGCTCTGAGTCTAGCGAGCAACCTGGGAGACCCGTCTGGTGACATGTCCATCGCTCACACAGCAGAAGGGATGGTGAGGTAGGTCTGAGGTGACTGGCACAGTGACAGTTGCAAGATGTGTGGTTGATATCATTTCTGGGTTTGCTGTGCCCTGAGCTTTTTCTGTTTTACTGAGGAAAGGTCAGTCTTTGAGTGCCCTCCCACGTATCACTCTTCCACAAAGATCACAGCTGATACCCCAGGGCTCTGGGGATGGGTCACAGGATGTCCTCACACAGAGGTTTGCTGCATCCAGCTTGAACCTGAGGGTTCCTTCCACTTCCTCACACCTGTAAACATTCCCTCTCAGTGGGTCCGACAAACAGCCATGACCATGGGCATAGGCATGGCCAGAAAAGCTATTTCTGCCTCTCCCTGCCCACCGTAGTGGTTGGTGCCTTGCAGAACACCCAGATGTGTGGGAGAGACCAGGCCTGAGGTTTCAGCCTAGCCTCCCACCTCAGAGCCAGGTTTAGCCATGATTGGTGGCCAGAGCTGGTCCTGACTTGCCCTCCTCCTGAGTGCTAGCATTCAGCTGGGAGGGCCACCTTGTCCTTTGGGGGGGCATTTACTTCTGATGAGGGTAAACATGGGTAGACAGAGCCTTTGAAGGTCCACGGCATTGTCTCTCTGTGCATACTGAGCCATCTTGTCTCCTTCTATGGGGTGAACCAAAGGAGCTCCTGTCCCAGTGCAGCCCCTCAGGGAACACTGCAGTACACACTGTGTAGCTGTACCCTGCAGAGAGACCAGGAGATGTCCAGCTTCCCAGGCTCATGGCTTGCTTCCTTCTCTCCCTCCCTCCTTGCTGAAGTAAATCAGAAGCTAATTCCCTACGCCAGCTGATTAATGACTCCCAGTCCTTCCCATCCGATCTCCACATCCCTCACTTCTCCGTGGAGAGCGGCCCAGCTGCCAGCCAGGTCCTTGTCATGGGGCCCGACGACTTCATCGTCACAGTTGTGAGGTAAAGGATTTACTTCTTCCCTCCACAGTGTGCTCAGGGGGCGGGAGCAGGGACAAGAAAGCGGGTTCAACAGGACAGGATGGGACCAGCCCTGGAGCAGCTTGGCCATTCTGTCCCAGTTAGTGCTGCAACAGAGCAGTGGGGTGGAGATGTGTGGGGGTGGTGCTGCTCTACCCCGTGCAATCCTGTAGCCTTCTCACATTGAAACAGGGCTGGAGGGGCCTGAATCTGCTGGGGAAGAAGTGATGGCCAAATTTGAGGATGATGTGGGCATGGAGGCAGATCCATCACATCAAGGGGAATCCTTAAACACAGGGAGGGACAGAGCTGCTATGGCCCACATGGTTCCTACTCCTAAGTACATGGAAACTGTTACTCCTCACATCTAACCAGTCCTAAAGAACCACCAAAGAGTCTCTATCAAGCCAAGATGGGATGAAAAGTTGGAGCCCTAAAAGCCTCAAGGTGTACAAAAATCCCTGGGATGATTTTTACAAGACTTCTTTGTGTTTCTTTTCAGTTCTTTGAATCGTCCCTTTGGCAGTGGAATCATAACACCCTCTGGAATCCTCCTCAACAGCCAGATGTTGGACTTCTCCTGGCAAAACAAAACAATGAACCACTCCATTTCCAGGCCGGTAATGAATGACATGACAAATTCTTTATTTGGGCTACCTGCATCTTTTTTTTTTTTTCAGTTTTATTCTCATCTTCACAACAGGGAGCCTATTTAATGCCTTACTGATAACTGAGAGACAATAGTCTGTAGAAAGCTGCTGTTTTTCACTATATGAGTACTGAAAGAGGAAACAGAAGGCTCCATGTGTATCAGTTAGTTATCATTACAAGGCAATTTTATCAAGCGATAGTTACCTATTTTCCCTGCAGTCCAGATGTACTTTAAGCAACTGTGTGCACTTAATGAATTCATGAATTGTTGCTCCGCAGGTTAAAAAGTAACATATAGCAGCAAAAAAGCTTCAGGTCTTGGAAGGAAACAATTATAGATCGCACTGGTGGCTTTCAGTGCTGCCTTGTGTATTGTAAAACCACCCCACTTTGCTGGGCTGGTACTTTCAAAGTGGGTGACCGGTTCCATGTTCCCTCTGTAAGAGTCAGCTTGTTGACATTTTTGGGGTGTCTTTTCTTCAATTGCAGCAAAATCTCATTCAGCCTCGGAAACGGCCCCTGTCCTTCCTGCTGCCCACCATTGTGAGGCCTTCTGAGGGCATGTGTGGGACGTACCTGTGTCTGGGGGCCAACAACGGGGAGAGAGCCTTGAGCAGCATCGTCCAGGTCAGTGCTGTGTCCTCTTAGAGTAGCTGCTGAGCTCAAGGCTGAGTAGGGTCTCCTCCCACAGTGCAGCCTTTTCCTTCCTAATTGTCCCAGGCTGTGCCAAAACTGGTGGCCACAGGACTACCAGATCAATCTTTGATGCCACCACTTCCACACTTATGGTGTCTCAAATCTCTAAGAGCCACCAGTTTACTTCTCTTGTACCTTTCCTGGTAGCACCACTCATAGTTGTAGAGGAGAAGCATTTTGGCAAAACCTGTAATGGTTTTTGTCATTTGTATCTGTTCAAAGCTCGTCTTAAGGATCATTAAGAAAAAAAGGAACACTCTGTATTCAGAGAGTTGCAGGAAACTGGCACCCTTTAGCCCTTTTCCTTATGAGAAGTTCCTTTTACTGCATTCCTGACTGAATTCCTCCCTGCTCAACACTTGCTATAAATTGGGCAGCTCCTCTTAATTTATGATTTGTAATGAGGTGAAGTACTTGCCAATAGCTTGATTGCGTGTACAACATTTTTTTTAGCTAAAAAGAAAGGCACAAGAACAGCTCCCAGTTTCCTTACCTTTTAGAAAGCATTATTCAGAGCAAAATTCAGAAGCCAAGCATCGCTTCCTGGTGCTTTGTTTGGAGAAGGCACATGCTGAGCTTTTGGCTGTTAGAAACACTTATTTACAGATTACGTCATGTTCCAGACACACAACTCTGCTAGTTTGGCAGGAACTATGTGACAAAAAGCCCATGCAATCCTGAAAATTTCCTACTTTTCCACCAACAACATACAGGCCCTATTTCAAGGACCTCTTAGTGTGTGCATGCAGTTTATTAAATGGTTGAAAATCTTCTTTGCCTGCTGCATCTGCAGATGTTGGAGCCACCAAATTGTGGGATGCTTAGGAAGCTGGCCTCTCCTATTCTTGCCACTTTTTTTTTTTTTTTTTTTTTTTTGTTATTGAGGGTATTTTGTTCCCTTGCAGGTTTTGGTAAATGTTTTAACATTTCACAAGAATCTGAGTGAAAGTTTGTCACTTGGTCGACTTCACCCACAGCTTCAGTCCAACACCTTGCAGGTTGACAGTGAGTATGGACAGTGGGTGGGGTGCAGCCTACAAATCCAGTGTGTTTAGGAAAAGGGTAGGATTTTCTTGGCATACTGCTATGGAAGTGCCTCAGCCCAGAGCACAGCTCACTGTGTTCTAGGGTTCCCATGGCTGTAGAGGGTTTTGGGGAAGACAAAAAGCAGAATCCAGCTTCTTCAAAGCCTGGAGCCCTTGCTAAGCTATGCCTTCTCCATCCTGGAAATGCTCCCTGGCTTGTCCAATACCACCAGTCCGAGCTCTTTCAGGTGCTTCTCCCCAGCCCTCCCTCCATCCCTACTCCCTCCTGGTAGCAGCCTTGTCCTGTCCTTAAAACCTTTTGGCAATCTGATGCCACTGAGGACACCCAAATAAACACCAGACAGGTTCTGAAAGCTTCCTACACTTTATTACCACTGCCATAAATTATATTCCTTCACTTTCCAGCCCATGTCCCTTAATTCCAGCAACTGGGGAGAAGACAAGGCTTATGGCAAGGTTTGTGGCTTGACAGTGCTGGAAGTGCAGCATCAGTGCTGGCACTCTGAGACTGTACTGTCAGCTCTTGTCCTTGATATTGCAAGTCTTGGTCTATCTGATGTTTTTCACACAGCCTGGTACCAATCAGAGCAAACCATAAGTGAAATTTGGTTCTCATTTCACACCAAATAGCCAAAGTTTCTGGGCTTTCCCATTTTAGAGGAAAATCTAAAAGGGGTCTGTCTAGTGTGACCTGCAGACTTGAAAACTAGGATGTAATTAAAACAAATTCAAAACTTCTTAGGATGTAATTAAAACAAATTCAAAACTTCAGAACATCCTAATTTGTGGGTTTGGACATTTTGACATCAATAAGGTACATGTTAAGACACATGTGCAATGTATAGAGCTTAAATACCAGTGGGGTTTCTGTGTGCCTGCTCGGTTTTGTCCAGCTGGATCCCCAGCTCCATGACCTCGGGCACTTCTATTCATACAGAAATTACAAACCATCAAATTAACAAAATAGAAGCAGAAGAGCAGCAGCCTAAGGTAGATGCCTGGAAGATTAAGAAATGTGTGCAGGGCAAGTTGGAAGGATTAGCACACAGTTTATCATTTGACAACTTGTTTTACTGTCATTTGGTTTCTGCTGCCTTGCATTTTATTTTGACTAAAAATTGTTAATATTCTTATTTGTAACTCAGAGTGGGCAGTGGGCATTGCCTCCTGTTCTCTAAGAATAACTACATTTGTTGCCAACAATGTATTTTCCCCTTTTCCCAAAGAGGAGAATCTTCCACATCCTTAAATGGTCTTGCAGATCTTGTCACACCCCATGGCACAAAGCAGTGGCCCCTTGACCCTTGGCTTGCCCAGCTGGAACCTTCTGAAGGGGCTGCAGGCAGGTTCCCCCCCACACCAGATCCCAGCAGGGTTAGACAGAGCTTCGCAACACAGGCAACGCTGTTAAAATTGCAGTTGCAATTAATTGCAGTTAAAAACTCCCCTTTTAAAATCCCTACAGGTGAGTTTCCTGAAGAAGATATAGAATTTCTTGTAGCCAGGGGCCACCAGGTGGATAAAGTCCCAGTGGTCTCCCTAGTTCACGGAGCCAGGAGAACCAACAGTTTCATCATTGGCCTGAAGGACCCCAGGAGTGCAGATGCTGCTGGAGCCACAATATTGTAGCACCTCCCAGGTGACCTGTTGTCTGAACAATGCTGACACACACCAACCCAAGTGATGTGCATGTTCTGAAGTGGCCTCTTCTCCAGCCCTGGGGGAGCCCCACCCAGACGTTCTGCACTCACCACCCCAGGCAGCACCAGGGAAGTCAGCAGCACCAACATGCAGCTCCCTGCTCTTGTTTTTTTTTGGGTTTTTTTGTTTTGTTTTTTTTATTTTTCATTTATTTGCATTGCAAGCAGCCCAGTCCTTGTTACAGGAATGCCAGGAGCACACTTTTCTTTTGGGAGAATCTTGCTAATAATTTCAGTCTTTCCAAAGCCAAGTTCTAGAACATTAGCAAAGGGAAAAACAGTTGATGATGATGCTGATATCTTCACTTCCCTATCTTTCCCAGAGCAATGGTTTTCAACAGCTCTAACAAATTCTTCCTCTAACAACTTGTACACCCTCCAATGGTTTTTTTACAGAGGTTCAGCCTCCTCCGTGGTAAATTTGAGCTTAGTGGTAATGGGCTTAATTTTCTTAGACACCTTTTGGAGATATTCTAGCAGTACTCCACAGATTTGTGAAAAACCACACACCACAGACTGCAAACCACATGGAGAGCATTTGGGTATGTTCAGGGCCTTCCTTCCACTGCCTTATCTCAGTCTACTCCGAAAGTCTAAATCAGGTCATTCCTACAGAGAAGCTTAGGATTTTCTGCTGACTGAATTCATGGCAGTACTCTAGCTCCATGTTTTTGTACTGGTGAGTCTATTGGAACAGCTGAAGAGAGTGAGAGAAAATGTACAAACCAACCCAAACACTACTGAGATAATTTTCTGCCTGCAGCATGTAGTGAAAATACAAGAATGCTTCTGCATTTCATGTCTGAAATCAAGTGAAGAAAGAACACCCCAGCTGACAGCTGCACCACTTCAGTCAGCCCATGTTTGGACATTTCCTGTTCTTTTTACTGGCAACTTAGAGACACCTGGCACTAAAAAATTCCTGAGTGATAATTTTCTGCGGTCTGAAATTTGTTGATGTCCTTCATGGTGCAAATGCATCTATGGCCACTGTACATATTATATATGTATGTCTGCTTATGGTTCTCTTGCTCCTTGATTTGATGATCACACCAGTCACACCCGACCTTCCTCCCAAGGGCCTCTGTGACACCCATCTGTTTGTAACTCACCCTCTGACACTTGTGGCCATTGGACATGGGGAGCAGGTGGGTCGTTTTGGGGCAGTTGGGGCCCCATGGCAGATAAATCAGACTAATCATTCCTGCCATCAGCCAGCCGTGGATCTCAGAACATCCTACGTGAAGCCTCACGTGTGGGGCTGAGCAAGGACAGAGGTGTTTTCATGCTCTGCTGAAGAGCAGCCACCCCTGAGAGGAGCATGGCAGTGCCAGCCAATGGCAACATCAGTGCTGTTTGCTGTTCCAAATTCCCTCAGCTGGGACGGGGGTGCAGCACTTCAGAACGTTGTCTTTGGCACACTGTGTTCTGTGCCACCAAGAAGAGACTTTCTTCACCACAGGGACACCAATCTATTTATTTATTTTTCTGTCGTCAGCACTAGAGTTGGTCACTGCCCAAAGTTGGAGTGTTCATAACGCTTCACGTGTCTTGGAGCAGACCTTTTCAGGCTCCACGGGAAGGGAAGGTGGCAATTCCATGTGTTGAACCTCACTGGGGGAGATCTGGGTGTTTCTGGTCTGTCCCAGACCAGATCTGCCCCTCCGGCACAGAGATTCACTGTGCTCAGCTGCAAAATACCTGATCAGTTGTCACAGCAATACTTTGCATGAAATATCACAAAACACTTTGAAAGATGAAATTCCTCCTTATTAACTGAATTCACTAACTTCCGATGCTGGAAACTGTGTATATGTTTGGCAGTAAAAAGACTTTGGTCTTGATTCAAAAGGGCATTCACGTGCCCCGAGGTACAATTTCGCAGCAATTATTCATAATCTTAAAATAAAGCATGTTCCAAAGTGCTCTGCTGGATCATGGCCTATGTTGCAAAAAAGAGAAAACTGAAAACAATTGGAAGATAGTACTTAGGTCACCAGGTCATGGCTAAGATAAGTAAAGGTATTCTGAATTATTTCCCATTTTCTCTGTTTAAAAGCAGCATCAGTATAGCACAGATGTATTTGATATGGAAACCCTTAATCTGCTAATTGCCCCAGTGTCCCTGGTACTTGAGCCCATCTGTTGTGATAAGACTTGATGAATTTAATGTGAAGTACCAAGAAATACCTGATGTTTTCTTCAATGCAGGTAAGATGGACATTGGGAAACACAGGGCTGTATTCCAGAGACGTGTGTGTGCAGAGTCCCTGTGCTGATTTCAGCCAGGCCCTTGCAGGCATGTAACAGCTCTAAAGCAGAGTTTGTGCTTTGACTTTGACTTGAAATTGTCAGTGAGCAGCTCAGAACACAAAATACAAAGGGGCTAAGAAAAACAATAAAGGAACAAAATAAACACAAAGGAACAAAATAAACACAAACAAAATAAATTTTAAAAAATAGATGCCTTTGCCAAATATGCCAAATATTGCCTATGCCAATATATCATCTGGAACATGATCAACTTGTCTCTGCCCAGGCTCAAATTGCTCCTCATCGATGCACACTGGTTTTGCGTGGGGATAAACTGGAGCCAGGCTCTGCCACTGAGTGTGAGCAGTTTATCAGTGTTTCTCACAAGGGCTGCACGCCCCTCACAAGCACAGGTAACAAACTGCCTTGCTGGCTGTAGGTGCTGCTGCTCTCCCATGTGCATCAAGCACTGATGGCTGGGGGTGAAAGCCTGAAGGGGGGACGAGGCAGAAGCCAGTGCTGCCGTCCTGCAGCTAGGGGGGACGAGCCTGCTCTGGCCCTTGACTGTGCTGTTTTGTTCCCATCACTGTCCCATTTGCTGCCCAGGCACGGAGAGGAGCTGGAGCCCACCTTGCTCCCACCACTCTGGATGGGGCAGGTGCTGCTGGGACTGTCAGGGTGGTCAGTCACACTGTTGGTGCCACTCAGACTCCCCCACTGCCCCTGGTCACAGGGACCTGCTGAAGAGCAGCCCTGGGCACACAGGGCATTCCTGCCCTTCAGCAAGGACTGCCAGCAGCATGTCCTGCTCCATCTCTCGGGGGACTGGGGACTGTCAGAGGCAGATGAAGGCAGAGAGCTGCTGCTATAGGTGGGGCAGCAGGTTCTGTAGGTGGGGCAGCAGGTTCTGGTCCCTAGGCTCCAGGGATGATGACCAACATTCTGCAGCCCTGCCAGTGTCTCTCTGAGGGTCCTTCAGCTGGGGCAGCAAGTCTGAAAGTGCCCATTCAGTGTCAGCTGTTCAGCTGCTGCTGGAGGAGCTTGGACCCTACTGGGTCCTTCTGGCTGGACCATCTGAGAGCCTCCTTCTGCCTGCTGCCCAACCCAATAGGACTGACCCCGGACACTGGCTAGAGAGAAAGGGGAGTCAGGCCTCAGTAAACACCATGAGAGGAAAGCTGCATCTCTTTTATGAACATCAAAAACACTGAGAGTTTTGTAAGGTTTTGCAAAGAATCAGGTGGAGTGGGAAGAGCTCCTGTAGTACCCAGGTGTTTTCAGCAGTTTTGGAAACTTCTTCTAAACTTCAGTGATGGAAATCTGCACCTAGCCAGAGAAAGGAGAGCTCTGACAGGCAGAGCTGGTTTCAGAGAGGCAGGGAAACATCTAAAAGTGCCCACCTGTGCAGAGGGCAGATGGAGTAGGAGTACCAGAGCACTGACACATACTGTCCACAAAGGGCTCTCCAGTGGCCACAGCATTTTCAGGTGCAGATTGTCCTGTCAGAGCTGACCTGCTACCTGAGGAAGCATCCCATGTGACAACAGTTCCTGAGCAGCCATGGACCTTCACCCACCAGGACCATTCCCGGCACAGCTGGGGCTCCATATCCTCGGAGTCGAGGAGGAGAGGATGACTCCTGTGCACCCCCATCCTGTCTTATCACATCTATGACCAATTGCCCGCCTATCTCTTTCTCACCACACTCACAGTTCAACAAAATCCTAGGTCAAAAGTGACTGTGACTGCAATGCAACAGATCCCCGTTCCTTCTCTCCAAGTGAGCATTGTATGAGTGTTAGAGGAGAAATTACTTTGTTCAAGTAATTGTATAATATTTAAGTTTGGAAAAATCTAAAGCTGGTTATGAGTCTACCTAATTTTCCTGTATAATACCTGCCCTTTGAAAATACTGTCATATGAAATGTGTGTAAATAAAACCACAATTTTGATTGCCATGGTATCAAATGCATTTCTGTTCTGTTGTGGACAATGAAGCAGCTCAGACAGCTGTCTTTGCTGCAGGTAGCTGTCCTCTGCAGGTGACATGGTATTACTATGTATCATTGGTTTTGCAGCAAAACTTCAGCATCCAAAACAATCTGAGGGTCTGCTCGTGGAGGAGTTCCATAAACAGAATGACAGGACAGATTTAGCTCCAAAAGTAAGAGAATCACAGAATGGTTTAGGTTGGGAGGGACCTTAAGGATCATTCAGTTCCAGCATCCTCTGCCATGGGCAGGGATACCTTCCACTAGAGCAGGTTGTTCCAAGCCCTGGCCAACGTGGCCTTGAACACTTCCAGGGATGGGGCAGCCACAGCTCCTCCTGGGTTGGTTACGGTGTATAGAGGCTGGGCAAGATCCAAGAATATCCAAGTTCTCCAGTGTGGATCCAGGCTGTGCAGTAAGCTCAGCTCTGGAGATCAGCCTGAAGCCCAGCTCACTGCAGGACATGCCTGCGTGGGTGAGCAGCAGGACATCAGGGTGGCAGTGCTGGAGCTGTCCCATGTTTCTACTCTCTTTCTCCTCCATGTCATGTTATTCCCTTCTCCCCACTGCCAGCTGGCTCTCGGTCTCCTGTCACATGCCTTTCACCGCAACATGCAGGATGGCAAAGCCACCTGGGTTCCTCCAGCTGCTGGTCTTCAGCAGAGATGTCTCAGAAGGGTCCTTGGTTGTGTCCTGTCACCCTGGGGTCCCTTCAGCTCCACCTTCCCTTTGTTCCCTTACACTTGTGACAAAGATATTTTGAGAGAATTGGGATTAATTTTATTTATGTGGAGATTGTGCCAGTTCTGGTCTTTCCCAACAGTAAGCAGAAGCATCAGGAAAAGCAATGGGAAGCAGCAGGCTACAAATTGCGAAAGGGATGTCCAAGGCCCCACGCTGCAAACCCCATGAGTGATTAGGCACGGAGAGGTTATCCGTGTGGGACCTCTCAAGCCCAGATCAGAAAGTCACAGCACTTAGATGGCTCGAGCACATGTTGGTGAGATACCTCAGTACTGCACTTCCAGTGAAGTTGAGTTCTGGAAAAGAGCATTTTACTTGTTCTTGTTTGCTGTTGTATACAAGACATGCCCGGGATTAATGTACATAATGCAGACAAAACCATGCAAACCAAGGATCCTGAAGGACAATCTTGTATGACAAGCACAGCAACAGCAGGGGAAAGCATGCGTTTTTTTTTGGAAGCAGCACTGATCTCTCTGTGCCAGTGTGAGGAATGCCTTTGAGGGAAGATCAGGCCGCAGGAGGAAGTTTGGTGCAGCTGGGTTAAGAAGGGTCTCATGAAATAGAGGAAAACATGAACACAAATGGGGAAGGAAGGTAATTCCTGGGTACCAAAGAAATCTTTTCTCAGTTTCTTTGTGTTTCCAGCTGACTCAGAAGCCAAGAGCAGGGTGAGGCAAAGCCCAGGAATCATCCCTGCTCCAGCAAACGGTTGATCAGAGGTATCAAACATTCCTCTTTATTAGTCCTGTGACTGAGCCCTGTCTCCTCTTCTGACACCTCTGAGGGTTGTGGGGGGTTGGGGAAGGGCTTTGCCCTTGTCCCACCAGAGAGGTGCTAGAGGTGGGTCCCTGTCCCAGAGACTGCAGAAGACATAAAAAGGCACGAGCAGAACAATCCTTAAGTAAAGGATTCCTCTCTGTCTAATAGCAGGGAGCTTTAGAGCTGCACATGGGAAGGGAACAGGCAATCTGCCTGCAGCTCTGCCCACACCAACCAGATTTAATTATTAAGATAAGTCCTATACTAA